ATGCTGCATGTATTCTGCAGGGCGGCGCTGCAGTGGCATTTCAAATCAAGAGGATTCTTTGTAAGAAACTGCCCGAGTACCCAAGATGATGCTTCCGAAATAGCTAAAGCATGTGATGACGGTGGCGTACATTGCACGTTTATCTCTGCTTATCCTACTCGTAGCCTGACCTATCTCTTCGCGTTCGCTTCGTGCCGAGCCATAGGGAGACATGCCGTCGTCTGAGACACCACCGGGAATCGCCAAGGACAGGAGAATTCAAAGCCGTTGCTGGTCTCGGGGGTGTTCCGCAACGCATACTCACTCGGTAGGTAGGCTGCGGGCTATGGCGACGGATATAGCATCGGAAAGATTCATGAGATGGTCGACCGCATATACGACTTACCCTGTCTTATACGGCTGTATCCTATTACCTCAAATAGGAAGGGCAAGATGGGAAAGTGTCTAATTTTGAGTTCAGTTACGTGATCACTTGAAGATCTACAGCTCTACGTTCGGCGGATTCAATGCCCCAGTCGTTGACCTCGGTGAAGTTTCCTTGCATAGCAGAGAACGACAGACAAGGTAGGGGCAGGATAAGCAAAGCTGAAGTGCGGAGGAGGTGACACCATCCTGGTAGTGAAGTCCCAAGGCAGGTTTTGGACGTTTCTGCACTGGCATCTCGGGTGCTTTAGAGTTTGAGGATGTGCAGGAGGTGAGGAAACAGCGGAAGTCACTTTGTCACTGCCAACTGAGGTACCTTGAGGTAGCCGTAGGTGAACTGGAAATGGCGGGAGGAATGAGGTAACGCTGAAAGTCTTCAGCACGTCCCTGGCATGGGGGTTGGGGGGGCCCCAATCAGAACCTCCTACGGCGTCACACCCGTTACCCTGTTGCGAGTTCCAGCGGGTGAATGGGCGGGAGGGCGACGACTAGACTTTACAGGCACCGAGGTGAGGTGCGCTGCACCGAATTGCACTTCCCACGGGAAGACGGCCACAGTTACGTACTGGAAGTACTACATAGGTACTACGTAGGCACCTTGGTCGTCGCTGATGTATTCGGCAGGCAGCTCACTTATGTACCTCTTAAGTACACCACCAGGTTGTCCGAGGCTGGGTCCAGCGTTCCCAGTCATGCCAGTCCACAAATCATCAGCCGGACCCTCCTCTTTCAGTGCTCTCATCCACCGACGTACCCACCTGAAGTGTGCAGCTTCCTGGCAACGATAAGTTGGGAGAACCTTTGCGATACTCTCTCACCCATGCGCCAAACCCCCGGGACCACACCTCTTTCGTTGGCTGGTCCACTCCCGTTGCTGCCCGTTCACTTCACCTCCATCCACGCCCGTCCGTCTCTGCTCGTGTCCTGCCCGCTTCACTAATTCAACGTGCCGGTCCAAATTAACCAGGCGGGCTCCGTTTGTCTAACCCCCCGTCCTGTCCAACACCCTTCTTTCTTCACCTTTCTCTACGAAACAATCTGTGTCCTGCTTCTTCCAAAGACCCTTTCTACCTGGACGTATACCGTTACATCGAAACAGCCGACACGATCCATTCTGATCAATCGACTCCTCTGCGAGTCTTCAATCGAACCGAAGCATCTACCATTCAGCATCGTCTCTAGCGCTTCTACCGTGACGACATCACACCCTTCTACGATCGCACCAAGAGTCTTTCGCACCCACGTATCATATACACACCATCTACGGCCGATATCCGTGTCACCAAACTCATAACTTGCCTCAATTTCGGCGTCGAGAATATTCGACCAAATACACAACCTTCCCAAAGCCATCGTCCCTGGGGCATAGCCGCCTCTGTAGACCATCGTGCAAAACTAGCATAATATCACCACCGAATACTAGCTGCCGCAGTCGAACAACTCGACTGGACTTTGAAAGAAGAAAGCTACCGCGATACGAAACGAATACAAACCTGTGCCTGCTGCCCCTTCTGCCGTTGACGACCTAGTTGGTCTCACCGTGCGATGTGGCGGGGGAGGAGGACCTCGTGAACTGATATCGTAGGGATCGAGGTCGGAAGAGCCCATAGCCTTCCTCGACCCGTCATTCGAACGCGCCTGTATTCGACAATAAACCCACGGGCGTCAACAACCTTCCCGAACGATCCTTACTTCCAACGGCTTTATCGATACCCACCAACTGGCGCTCCAAATCGATCACCACTTGATCTCAAGACACTCGCTTGCCGTTGTCCTTCGCTCACACACTCTTCGGACCTACGTCCCAACGTACTTTGATTCCTATTTGGTCCGAGCACTATACTGAGTTCCACACAACTGCTTTCGGGAATGGATCATCGGTTCCCCATCACCCGCGACGATCTCTTCAACATCCAAATGGATTTGAAGCAAATCCAACTGGTTCAGAGTAATCAGGGCGAGAGACTAATAAGGCTCGAAAGGCGCCAGGAACAAGATGCGAGCCTCAAGTCCGTGTGGCAGCAGAATCCTTTCCCTGGCGTCCTTGCCGGAACCCCTCAGCAAGGTAATGTTAGATCTCCTGCGGGTGTGGTTGCTTTTTTGCTGACGTCCCACTCTCCAGGGCCGACTCACCTCTCACCCAACGACATGTTTGATGATTTCGACGAGCAAGGCCAGCACCTGCTGAGCTCCCTTCACCTAGGACCTGCGGAGGAGGAGCCTACTCGTCGGGGTGCTGCCTCTCGAGCCAACAGCGTACGATTCGACGAGAGTGCATTGCGGGGAGCAGCCGACTGGTCTAGTCAGAGTAATCGCCACTCTGGAGAATTCGGACCTCCCCGACCGTCCAGCGGATTGATGATGGAGCGGTCCTTGTCCCACAAATCGGATGGACGCCATAGCTCTGCCGGCCACTCTGTTCACTCATTTCACTCTGTGGCATCTGGGAGGGCGAGCAGTTTGGGCTTGGACACCAACTTTATGGTCAGCAGTCATGAAGATGACTCTCCGATAGACATGCCGGAGCCTCCACCAGGCCTCTTTTTTCTGGGCTCCGTACCAACCATCATCCGATGTTGGCTTACAACGAGCTTCGCCCACGATACGGTGTTGTATGCTGATCTTTGCACGGGCTCCCAGAAATCCGTGGTCGACTACTCTGTCCTCAAAGATCTCGATCTGTTGGATGAGATTCAACACGATATGGATGGCACGTACAAAGTTCGACTTCCAGTATACCTGGTAGAAGCTACTGTTTCCGAACGCAGCAGCCGATCATCGAGCCCTGGGCATTCAATGCCCTGCCTCCTCGCATCCTTTGAGGTGTCCGGCATGGAGCAGTCTGAAGGCATGGAACCGAAGAGGGGCATTCAGATTTTTATTGGCAGCGACACCCTCAGAGCCCACCAAGCCGATATTCTCCTCTCCCAAAACCGCATGTGTCTTTATGGTAGCGAGCGCGAGAAGTTGTCTGTTCCCTTTGTGCGCCCAGAGGACGAGGCTGCTTTCAAGCATATAAGCACAATCAACTTCATCCCCGAAAAGCCCCGACTCAATGCCAACGCGGCGCCTTTTGTGTCCGGAGACCCCCGACCTCATGCCCCAACAATGCAAAGTGCATTGGAAAGCAGCCTGCCCAGCACACAGCATGAGGATGCCGAGTCGCAGGGGCCTCTTTCGCCCTTGGATCACTCTGTACCCAACAAGTCGATTGGAGCAAGCAACCTGTCTGAAAGTGGCGGGGAGAGTGAACGGCATGGCAAGGATACTACCAGCGGGTCCGAATCGGGGGCAAGAGAGTACCCTCCGGCGCACAACAGCTCGACCAGCGGCGAGGGAAACCGGCGCGAGTCTGCGGGCGGCATATGGGGCTCATGGCGGCAGGGCACTTCAGCAAACGGCGCGGAGAACGGGCAACGGGACGCCAACGGCCCGCTAAGCGGATATCAGCCCGCCGGGCGGGGAAGCCGGAATATGAAGGTGTTGAAGCCCCTGAAATCGGGTTCATCATCGTCTGCCAGAACTGGAGCTGCTTACGAGCCGCCACCAGCACCCAGAACCAGCGGAGAGCATCGACGCAAGAGTCAGGTTAGTGTGGCGGCAGAGAGCAACCCGCCGACCAGCGTTCGCTGGGAACCCAAGAGGTCAGTCAGCAGCACCACGGTCAACAGTACAACGGAAGCCAAGGCCCCGCGTGAGGCGAAGAATGCGGGCCCAGCTTTGCCGCGGTCGGCGAACCCTATCGGCGGTGCCTCAGCTTTCTCTTGGATGAATCCGGCTGGTAAGGCGAAGCCCACGGCTACGGCGGAGTGATCGGAGCGGAGAGAGCGCAAAGCCCCGGTGGCACTGGACGCGAAGGTGGTCGAACATGGCCAGAGCAGTAATCTTCTTTTTCTTTGCTTTTACAAGACGACTCCCTCCAGCATGAAGCGGTGAGATGGCAGGCTTCAAAACAACGCAAGCAAGGCCAACTAGTAGGTAGCCATGTAGTCGGCCATGACGTATGGCTTTCATGGCACTATGGCTAGAAAACTCCGCCCAGCGGAAACCAATAAACAAAAATCTATGAGTTCAAAGAGCGTCCAATATTTCCCCAGGTAGCCACGCCCAACCCAGATCGGCAACTAGGACGCCCACAACGTTAGCTGCATTGAGGATCTTCTTTTGGTCCACCTCTGTGGGCCAAAGCCCAGAAAGTGATATATCAGAGGTGATGCCGGCTCTGCTGATTTCCAACCTGCAGCCACCCAACCAGCCAGGAGATGATTGCTATTTCTGTACTGCAGGTACCTTGCGTTTGAATTGTTGGTTGCGGTCCGTCATGGGCAGCCCAGGGTCTCTGCGAGGTCACGTACATAATTCTTCAATGCACCTCTCAGTCTGCAGTGTCCAGAGAGGCCCGGTCCGGCACTAACTTACCCCACTTGGATGCGCCGGTTCCCCGCACTGCTCCAAGGCCGAGTGTGACGTGCCGAGTCTCTAAGCTCCGAGTCACGGAATGACTGACCTTGGTGACCATTTTTTTCTCCTTTGATTCTATTGATGGTCTGATTTCCTTTCCTCCCTTCCCGCGGGACATGTCGATTACAAGAACTCTCCGGGCACATCTACCTTTCCCTCAATTAGCACTACCTCGACCGTCCGGACTCCTATTCCGACCCCGCTTCCTGACGACCGCGAGCATGTCTGACCCCGCGACTCGCCGCCTGCAAAGGCCGGTCATTTTGTGCGTTTGATGGCCCCCCCTTAATGCTTCCACACTGTCGTTACAATACGGATGGCTTGCTTACAAACATAATGTTGTACCAGCGTCTGCGACCTCCAAGACAAGTTCCGCAACGCAATCTTCGAATTCGACAAGGTCGTAAAGACAACCTCCAAGCTCCTCCGCGCCGCAGACACACTCAAGATCCCAGTCTACACCACGACCCAGAACCGCGCCCGCCTAGGCGACACCGTCACCGAGCTCGCGCCCTTCCTCCAAGAATCGGACCTCGTGCGCCCGCCCGTGGACAAGACCAAGTTCAGCATGTGGGTACCCGAGATTGCTGCGCAGTTCGAGGGGAAGGGGAAGCACGAGGTGTTGATCGTGGGCATCGAGTCGCATATCTGCGTGACGCAGACGGCGCTGGATTTGTTGGCCGAGGGGCATAAGGTGTATGTGCTCGCGGACGGGGTGAGTAGCTGTAACCGCGAGGAGGTGCCGATCGCGCTGGCGAGGTTGAGGGGGGAGGGGGTCACGGTGACGACGAGCGAGAGCGTGATTTATGAGATGATGGGGGATGCGGCGCGGCCCGAGTTTAAGAGCGTTGTCGGGTTGGTCAAGGATACGGGGAAGGATACGAAAGAGGTTTTGCAGGCTTTGGCGCCCAAGATTTAGATGGGGGTTTCTTTTTTGGGTAGAAATGAGTTTTGCGTTATAGAGGTATACATCTACAAAAGATTCCTGGCCTTTTCTATATTTACGTCCCAGATGCAAGAGAGAGAAGATCGAGAAAGAGAGAGGACTTCCCTCTCACTCAACTTCGACGGCCTTGACCTTGACCCCTTGCAACCACGTCAGATCCCCCTCGACAGTCACCCTCCTCACCCTCGCAAGTTCATCAATAAACGCCGGCACAAACGTCCCCGGACCCTGTACATCAGCCCGCACAGCAGCCCGCTCAGCCGCAATCTCAAAGTGCAGCAACCCCGCCAGCACAGCGAGCAACTTATCCTCGTCCGCCCACGCCGCCAGCATAGCCGAGACGGTCGTGCCCAACACGCACCCCGTGCCCGTGATCTGGCCCAGAAGCTCGTGCCCGTTGTCTACGGCCAGCGTGCGCTGGCCGTCTGATAGGTAATCCGTCTTGCCCGTCATGAGCACCACGTTCCTCTCCCTCCTCGCGAGGTCCCGCACCAGCTTTGCTTTCTGCGCCGGGGTCAGAGTAGACGACGAATCGACCCCCTTTTGCTGCTCCAGCGCCCCCTCACCCCACACCGTCTTGATCTCCCCCTCGTTGCCCTTGATGAGATCCAGGTACCCGCCCGCCAGGATCGTCTTGACGGCGTTCCTCCGGATCGACGTGGCGCCCGCGCCGACGGGATCGAACACCACGGGCCTGCGCGCGGCGTTGTAGGCGGACAAGGCGAGGAGGTAGTTTGCGATGCCGTCGGGGGTGACGGTGCCCATGTTCACGACGAGGCTGCCGCCTAGACGCGCGAGGTCGGGGGCTTCCTGGCCGTAGTTTGCCATGATGGGGGATGCACCGACGGCGAGGGCGACGTTTGCGGCGAAGTTTTGGACGACGAGGTTTGTCATGTTGTGGGAGAGGGGGGAGGTTGTTGCTACGCGGGTGATTACGGAGGGGATTTGGGCGAGGAGGTTGTCGACGTCGACGGGGGAGGCAGAGGCGTCGGAACTGGAGCCGGAGGAGGAAGAGGTGATGCTTCGGTACGACGGGCTCGTTTTCACGAGCTCGAGGAGGTTGCGGGAGGCGGATTCCGGGTCCTTGGCGGCGACGATGGCGCTGACGAGGGCGACGCCGTCGAGGCTTGCGGGGGATGATGCGTCGGGGTTGGCGGACTGGTAGAGGACGCGCTGGATGTTGGAGGGGTTGAGGCCGCCGATGCAGACCGTCTTTACGCGGGGGAGGTGGCCTGCCGCGGCGAGCTTGGTGAGGATTGTGCGGAGGCCTGCGGTGCCGATGATGTGTTTTGTGTTTTCTTTGCTGGGGGGGTGTGTTAGTGAGTGACGTAGCAGGGATTTGAAGTGAGTTGGTTATGTTGACGAGACATGGAGTGCCGAACTGATAGAGTTGGAAGACTGAGAAGGGATGAGAGACGTACGTTGATGTGGCAAAGACGGTGCCGATGCCTAGGTAGTCTGCTCCATCCTCACAGGCCTTGAGGGCCTCCTCGATGGTGCTGGCTGTGACACCGATGATAGCGTCCGGGCCGAGGATCTTTCTTGCGGCAGTGAGCTCTAGTTGGATGTCAGCCATGCCCCTTTCTTGGATTCTATTCTCACCCCAGCAGCACAAGAGACGTATTCATGAGGAACGGGACGAGTCACCAGCTCAAGAAGAACACATTCTCGAGGTATAAACGCAGAAAAGAAGAAGAGAGAAAGAAAGAAAAGAAATGCTCACCCATATCATCCTGCCCGATATGCACACCCTCACATCCAACAGCGAGCGCGACATCGACCCGGTCGTTGATGAGCAGCGGCACGCCCGCCTCGCGGCAGACGGCGTGCAGCTTCCTGGCATTGGCGACGAGCTCGCCCGTGTCGCTCGTCTTGTCGCGGTACTGCACGATGGTGACGCCGCCCCGGACGGCGGCCGCGACGACGGACGACAGGTCGCGGTCGCCGAGGATGGCGGGGGTGGAGTCGGTGACGAGGTAGAGGGAGTAGTCTACTGTTGGTTTCGGCATCGTGGTTGGGTTAATTCTACTTGAGTCTAGAGAAGGAAGGGTGAGGGGAGGACGGGATGAAGAGAAGGAAAGCCAGATGTCAGATTGTCGCCGGGTGAGGGAATATTGGATCGGAGGTGGGATGACTGCGTTACTTGGATCGGCGCCGGTTTTTTCAGCGTGGAAATGCGGATACTTGCGGCCGAGGACGGAACGGCCGCTTCTCCGATGGCGCCGATGGCTGCGGGACGCGGGTTGTGGTGGGGTTGTCGGTGACGACATTAACTACCCGTTTGGCTCATCGCAGAAGAATTGGCACTCGTGATGCCACCTGGGTCCAGATCAATCTTAACAGGAACTCACGGGACGTTCGATTTGTTATATACTCGCAAACATTGTGGAATCGAAATGCTCGTTTCACCGCATTAGAAGTCACAACTGTGATTACACAGTACTGATCAATACTGTCCTATGCAATCTTCTTCAGCACATCAGTATTGTGCACACTAGGTAGCTTTAGAGACTTTGGATTGAGATTTTCGCTTGTTACAAAGATAAAACTACAAGATGCATGAAATCCTGGGTGGACCTGCTAAACTCCTTATGAGAAACTCCAAAAAATAACAACCTCCTCTTTTCTTGGCCTCCAAGTAGAGGGCAGCCCGCTCGCTTATCTCCTTTTCAGATCGGTAGTAGTAAAAGATAGCCCCTGGAAAAGACACCCTTCTCTTGATGTTCCTCTGTTCGTTGGTACTGTGCCAACAAAACCCTAAGAAGGCGAGGTGAGAGCTCTCTCCTGTCCATATCATAAATCATCACATTCATATGCGTCAGTCCCGGTCGGTCCTCCGCTGGTGGTGGTGTTCCACAAATTCTCCCAAAGCCCCTCGTCTCCGGACGTATGATCAGGCCAACGAACGTTAAGTGGCAGTCCAATCCATGGAAGGGAACATACTCCCGACATCCCACGTCCCAGCAGCATCCTCTCCAAGCACGCCCGTCCAAAACGACGCATCCAGATCCCGAATCATGGCCTGCGTCCCGTCCGACAAGTTGGCGGGCAACTGAATCGGCTCCTGGATCGCCGGCTGCGACTTGAGACCGCACAGCTCGCCCTTGACGATATCCTTGAAGTACCGCAGCATCTCCGTCAGCCTCACGAACGGATCAACCACCTTCGGGCCCGGCACATCCGTCGCTGGACCTGTCGCTTCTTCTTCCCCCCTCGCAGCAGCCGCGTCCGCCGCCGCCCTCCTGAACTTCCCGCTCCGATGCGCCACGAAAACCTCCAAGTGCGCCACCTGGCTCTCGACGACCCCGCCGAGGTCGAGGTGCTTCTGCACCAGCGGCAGGTCCCATCCGGGCACCTGGTCGAGCGTCATGAGCTTCAGGCACACGATGAAGACGTACAGGAAATCCGATGAGCTGAGGCAGGTGAAGCGCGGCTGCAAGCTGAGGTGGTTGCGCGGGAAGCGGATCTCGAGAAACTGTTTAGCGGCGCTGCAGCAGCCCCAGAGGAGCTCGAGGCGTTCCGTGAGGGAGATGAAGGAGGCCGGGCCCCGGGCTTCGGGGATGCCGATTTCGTAGAGGAGGACTTGCGCTATGCTGATGTGCGCGAGGAGGCCGACTGTGTTTTTTGTCAGATATCCCATCCACAAACGCATACATGTTAAAGGGGTCATCTTAACATACCATTGTCTTTGAGATGCTCCGGCAGCGACGTCTTGAAGATGTCGAGCTGCTGCTGGAAACTCTGGACGACCATGGTCAGGGGCAGCTGCAGCGACTGGAAGCTCGTGCTCTCCGTCCCGAGCGTGAGAGAAATTGTCTGCGCGAGTTGCTGAATCTTGAAGAGGTGTACCAGGAGCGCGTCGCTGGGGTACTCCGCCGCCTCCTCAATCTGTCGGCAGCAAGACTCCAGGTACGTCGTGTTCATAAAGGCGTCTGGCCGCTTATTCGTCGTGAAGACGCTTTCACCCCCCCGCGGTCAGCCCTCTCCCGTTCACATAGCCAGGCAATTACTCACAGTGTGTTGAGGTAATAACACCCAGCAAAAGCCCTCATCAGCTCCAACTGCGCCGAAATCTGCTCCGGCGTCTGCACCTTCCTCGCCTCACTCTCAGGCTTCTGGAAACTAATAGAAAGCCCCGTCCCCTTCCCGCCTCGCTCGGCCAGCTGCATGGGGCTATCCTTGAAACCCAAACTAACGCACATCGACCGCGCCAGGAACAGCAGGTTCGTGAGCTGGTAACTGTTGATGTTGTAGTGATACCATGCAATCAGGAGCTGCAGCCCCTGCAGCACGTCCAGGCTCTTCTTGGGCTTCATGAACGCCGCCTGCACGATGTCCTGCAACAGCTCTTCCCCTAGCAGAACCTGCTTCGTCGCGTCTAAGTGGCACGCCGTCATCATGATGCCCTTCCACAGGAACGGCCTCTCGGCGGCCAGCTGCGTAGGGCTCATGTGAGGGGGTACAATGACAAAGGGGTACAGCGGCTGCATGTCGTCCAGAAATACTTGAAGAACTTTGCTCTGCTCGTTGTTCAGCGGCCAGGGTGACTCGTTCGGTGCTGTAGACGCGGACCCCATCCCCGAGGCGCCGCCGTTGTCGGTTTGGCTGCTCCCGACCGTATGGTGATCATCCGCCGTAGACGCACTCGGCGCAGGCGACGTGTCGGACCACCCCCCCTCGCCCCCGACGACGATGACCTCCTCTGGCGGGAAAAGGTGATCGCAGTTGATCGGTATCCTAGCCGACGCCGGCGCGATGCTACCGCTAGGCGGAAGCGGCGAGTTTGCGCTCCCGACGACGGTCCCGTTGGCGACGGTCGTCGCGACCTCGCTGCTCCTCCTGCCACCAACACCAACACCGCCCTGATGCGGCTGCTGCGTCGTCGCGCTCAACTGCGTCGTCAACTCATCCAGCCTCTTCTCCAGCTCAGAGACTTTGGTAGGCTTTGGTTCCTTCTTCGCCCTGGGCGGCGCAGGGGTCTGCGAACCGCACGGCTTGCGGAGCCTGTGGCATCTGTTTCTCCCAGTCAGAGTTTCGTTCTCGCAATGCGCGCGAATACGACAGAGATAGAATACCGTTCGCATTTGTTACTCCCATCCGGGCCCGAGATACACCTCGCCTTAGCCTTGGCGCAGGTCGTACACGCTCGCGGGCCTTTGGCCCTGTGATCGGTATCCATTTTGCCGTGGTAATTGTTCTCTCTCTCTGTCTCTCCTCTCTAACTTGAACTCATAAGTGGCGAGAAAAGATGTAGTGAGCTAAAGTAGAGCAAGCAACGATCAAGCTAGAGTAAAGCACAAGACATGAAACACCACTCCTCTGTTAGCAGGATTTTCCAATTCGCGTCGTAATCCTTTTCTCATTTGAGTTGCCTGCCTTAATTCATGACGGATCTCCTGAGTTGCGTGTAAGTCAAGACACACACCACCCCCCCAGTTAGCAATGACGGGGACTTAGGGGACCCCCTACCCCTTCCCCCAACCAATCAAGAAGGCTTTCTCGAACGGAGACGGAGCAATTCTGCGTTGCCGGCCTCCGTCGGAGTTGCTGAGTCAGACACTGGGCGGGCCAAGCCACGTCTTGGAAAGTCCGCTTTTGGTGTTGTCGCACTGGACTCTACTAATAAGATGTGGCACACGCCTCATGCTTCACCGTGGCAGTCCCATCCCATCTCATCTCACCCCCAGCTGATGGGCGGGCGGGCACCGCGGAGACCCGTCTGGGCAAGTGCCGGGTTTACATCGGGCTGAGCTTTCCTCGCCGAGCCCGGGGACGGGGAAGACCGCATTCGCATAAATTGACTTTGCGATTCCCAAATGTCAGCCATGCATGAAGTATCCCGGCCGGCTAGTTGCCTACTTCGGATGACTCTTGGCAGGTAGTAACACAAGCTTCGCTATATCACGTATTGACCAAAAGAAGTAGAGGTTGATGAATAAATCTGTCAATATATGACATTCATATTTTGTAAACTATTGGTTATTGCGACCAACACTGAGAGTTAGATCCCATCATATAGACGAAATCATCAACCTCAAATCGAAAGAGAACAATTGTGGCCACGGAACGTGGGTCTTGAAATCACACAAAAAACTTGTTGATCGCTCCAAAGAACGTGGTCTAGGCCCGATGAGCTCCCCTTTGCTTTCAGATATCAACGTCGAAATGGTTGGTGCTAGTTTTTCTTAACTGAGAAAAACCAGACAACCTCGGAGAACGTGAAATGTATCAAATGGCAGAGCTCACGGCCTGACCAGTCGTCGCCTTGGACTCACGCTCCAGCAGGGCCTCGACGAAGCCGTTGCTGATGTTTCCCGCGGCCTTGATCTCCTTCGCAGCCTGCTCGATGCCAAGCTGGTTGTCAGTCCATAGGGGCTCCTCGGGAGCGGCGTCAGCCTCTCCGACGCCAATGAAGCCGCCCTCGGCAGCCCATTCAGAAGTACGCTTGATGCCGAGCTTGGTCCAGATCTCGTCGAGCGCCTGGACAAGCTGATCGCGGTACTCCTTCTTGTGGCCAGGGGTAGGGGTGACGCGCAGTCTCTCCTGTCCGACGGGAACCGTGGGGTAGTTGATGGACTGCACGTAGATCTGGTAGTCCTGGAGCAACATATCCGAAGCCTGCTTGGCGAGCTCGGCGTTGCCAACCAGGATGGGGATGATATGGGAGGGGTTGGGGATGACGGGGATGTCGCGATCGTTCAGGGCCTCCTTGACCGCGCGGGTGTGGAGCTGCTGAAGGCGACGGTCGCCGTCGTAGTCCATCTGGTACTCAATGGCCGTCTTTGCGCCGGCCATCGTCGCGGGCGGGAGTGACGTGGTGAAGATGAATCCGGGGGCGAGGGAGCGGATCATGTCAACGAGCTTGGCGCTCCCGGCAATATAACCACCAACGCATCCGTATGCCTTTCCGAGGGTACCAGTGATGATGTCAATGCGATCCATGATGCTGCCCTTGGGGCGGCCCTGCTGATGCGCTTCAAAGTCCAAGTGCTCCGCGACACCGGCGCCGTGCGGGCCGTACATGCCGACGGCATGGACTTCGTCGAGGAACGTGATGGCGCCGTACTTCTCGGCCAAGTCGCAAATCTCCTCAATAGGTCCAATCGATCCACACATGCTGTAAACGGACTCGAACGCAATCAGCTTGGGAATGTGAAGTGGCAGCGACGCCAACTTGGCCTCGAGGTCCGCAACGTCGTTGTGCTTGAAGACAATCTTCTTCGTTCCGGAGTGACGAATACCCTGAATCATAGACGCATGATTCAGGCTGTCTGACAGAATGACACACTCGGGCATCTTGCTACCCAGAGTCGCCAGAGTGGCATCGTTGGCCACATAGCAAGAGCTGAAGACGAGCGCGGCCTCCTTGGCATGCAGTTTGGCAATCGTGCCCTCCAATTCGACAGCGTGCTTGTTGTGTCCAGAGATGTTTCTCGTGCCACCAGCACCGGCGCCGTACTCGTCCAGGGTCTCGTGCATCGACTTCAGAACGTGGGAATTGCGGCCCATTCCGAGGTAGTCATTGGCGCACCAGACGGTAACCTTCTCCTCCTTTCCAGCCATATGGGCACGGGGGAATTCCTTGGCGAGACGGTTAATGTTGTTGAAGTAGCGGTAAGACTTGTCCTTGTGCTTCTTCTCCAGCTCGGCGTTGTAGTAGGCCTCGTAGTTGAACTTGGCCTTAGAGGCGTCCGAATTGCCCATACCAACAGTCGAAGCAGCGCTCTGACGAGCAGCCGGGATACTGGGAGGAGCTTGAGCTACATCAATGGTCAGCGGGGAGGGTTCCTTTCCTTTTCTCTTCACAATAGGGTCTCCATACCTTTGTTGAGCAAAGGAGCATCAACAGCCCGGGCATCCTTGCTGCGGCTGGTGTGGATGTTGGCGCGGCCGGGCTTGGAGTTGGTGCTCAAGGCGCGGATGCCAGCAACCGAGGAAGAGCCTCCCATCTTGGCCGGGCGTCCATGGCCGTACTGGGCAGACTGGACAGTCAGAGCCTTGCCCATGACGGGGCAGCGGTGGGCGAGGAGCTGCAACTTGGACATTGTTCCTCCGCAAGGAGAGACGGCCGTCGTCTGGGGCGCTGCCTGAATGGCGTGGGGACGAGCCGAGGTAGACAGCGCGCGCAGTTTGGCGGGCGAGGCCGACTTCAAGAAGGGGCACATGGCCTTGGATTGACGCAGGGCAGCCTCCATGGTTATTCTCGAAGGCTGACAGAGGTAAATCGTACGGTTTCGCTTTCGAGATGATCGTTCAAGTTTGGTTTGTTTCGGAGCAGAGAACGGTGTGCGACTCTGGTTTTGTTTGTAGATTTCGGTGTGTGGCGACTCGAAGCGCGCGCGAGAGACGTGGATGCGAGTGAGGTCAGCGGGTTTGCCAGAGAAAAGTGATCAGCGCTGAGGGGCTGAACACAGGTCAATGGGCAGAAAGAAGCGGTCGACTCTTGAGATCGACAATTGGGACGGTATTCCTGCTGGTAAAGAGCAGAAATAGGAGAAGAAGGGGGGAAAGAGAGAGGTTAAGCAAGATGAGGAGAAAACGGGAAGGGGAAGCGAGAAAAACGAGCAGATTCCCGGACAAGTCCTTTATTTTAGTGTCTCCGGTGAAGAGTCGCCATGACACCAAATCCCCAAGGGCGCAGTGGAAGGGTTACGGTCTGGGCAGTAGGGTAGGTACAGTGTACCTCGTGCCGACCGGCCGCCCCGCCATCTGGCTGAAGTTTGAACCCCAGCACCGCTGCACCACTGCACCACCCCAACGGCACGCCGCACCAGCGACTCGGCACAGGGTGTGGTAGGTGCGGCCCTGCGCATTTTTGGAGCCTTTGGGACTCTTGTGAGTGGTGGGCGGGATTCAGGTCAGGCCTGGGCAACCCGCCCCGAGATCCAACCTAAACGCATCGCATGTGTTCTAGGTTCTAGGCGGTGGGTTGGGGGTGCCGCTGCACGCGATTTCTCATCCTCAACGTCCCTCAAGGCCAGATGGCAGACCTGAGAGGACTGCGAAACTTCCATCGCCGTCAGGTACTCAGGTACATCCCCATTCATTGAATGGGGCCGGGGTTGTCTTGTACGGTGTTGATGGGTGGGACCCCTAAGTCCGCAAAGTGGAGTCTCCGAATACCGAAAGTCGGCACTTGAACCAATCACTGCTCGTCCATAGCCAATTTCTGATGACACCTGATTGGCAGACCAACTCAACACCGCTGCGCAAATGCTAAAGTGACCTGAGGTCAGATCCCTTTTGTCCCTTTTTATTTAATTCTCTTGGTAATACCACCCCAGTTTCGGTGTTTGCTACTGTCTTTTTTTTTCTCTTTGCTGCTCGCTTGAGTTCCGCGGAACTTGTTTGCCTAAGATAGGTACGCAATACTATGTAACCAAAGATCCAACGTCTTCTTTTTCTTATGCCCACATGGCCTTTCTTCAAGACCCCTGCTCTTCTGGAAACACCGCTGTGGATCCTGCAAAATCAATCGTACGAACACTGAGCCGGTGTCTTCCGAGACCGAACTTGACAGAGCCCGTTCCGTATAGCCTACAATAGGTCATGGCTTCCGCTTCCGAAGAGCGGTATTTTTCAGAGCCAATTCCCGCCGCAGGTACAATAGTGTTGTACGAGGGTACAACAAAAGGGCACACAAGCTCGAGAGACACATGGAATCAAAGACAAGTAAGCAATGAGGCAGATTCGTGAGCTTGGCTCCTAGGTATTCTCAATGTTTCGGGGCTGCAGTTGCCGTTGCCTTAGTCACCTTGTCACATCGCCAATGTCCCGCCCATGTCTCAAGTGTGCTCTGCCCCCCTCCTGATATTGGTGCTAACAGCGGAACATGGAGTATGGAGCCAGGAGGAGCCGTTAGGGTACATTGTCATCATTCGCCGAAGTCACTTGCAGTTATCTCAGCTTGTTCCATCCGACATCATAAATACGAGGATACAGTCAGCCACACAAGTAAAGAAGTAAGACACGGAACTTTGCGATCTCAACAAGTAGTCTGTTAACCATCACTGGTTGCATCCGCCACCACGCGTTAATGTTGAGGAGTCTGATTACCCCGAGTAAGCCTCGAGCCGAATTCCTAGGCGCACCAACTTTCGGTGTTATTGTATGCCTTTTTGACATCATATCATATGACTCTTACGCCGCCCTTGATGAGTCCTCCACGTGAAATCAGAA